CTTCATCCTGGTGCTTTTGTTTCTATAGATGGATTCCTAAAACCTGCTTGGTCCGTGGGCAGGGAGGGATGGTTTGGATGGTGCTAGACACCAATCCCTCCTACCGTCCATCCCCACTGCCTTGACCCAGACCTGGGGCTCCTCCCCCAGGCCAGCCAAATGTGTCACCTCCTGCCTGGTTGACGGGCCCCTCCTCTCAATTGCCTTAAAGCCCAGATCAGCACAGTCCCCAGCCACTGTTTTGATCTGGCCCCTGTCTACCTCCCTTACATTTCCAGCCTTCTATCATCCATCTGGCAAATACGTATTGAGCGTGTACTCTGTGCCAGGCCCAAGGCATTGGGGGTAAAGTGTAAGTAAGATGAAGCCCTGCCCTCATGGCACTTACATCTGGGGTGTAGATGATGATAAAACAAGTAAAATACATGGTACGTTATATGGTGATGGTGACAGTACAGCGATGGAGCACAGGGTGTGTCGGAGCAGGATTTACAGTTATAAATAGGGTAGCCAGGGAAGGCCGCACGGTGACAGAGACATTTGAGAAAAGACCCAAAAGTGGTAAGAGGCCAGCAGGTATTTCAGGGAAGAGCATTCCAGGCACAGGGAATGGCAAGAGTAAAGGACCTGAGGTGGGAATGTGCCTGGAGTGTCTGAGGAACAGCCAGGAGGTTAGGGTGCCAGGAGTGGACTGAGCAAGGGGTGGGGTGTAGTGGGAATAGAGGTCAGAGGTCACGGAGGGCAAGAGACATACCGAGCCTCGTAGGCCTCTGGAAAGACTGGCTTTTACTGTGTGCGTGGTGGGAAGCCATTGGAGGGTTCTGAGCAGAGGAATGACATGAGCCCTTTAGCTGCCCTTGAAAATACAGCGTTGGGACTTCCCTGGCTTCCCAGTGGTTAGGACTCTGCACTTCCACTGCAGGGGGCATGGGTTCAATCCCTGGTCCAGGAACTAAGATCCCACAAGCTGCACGGCACAGCCAAAAAAAAAAAACAGCGTTGGGGGTCGAGGGTACAGGTAGTCACAGTCAGGATATGGTTTGCAGGTCAAGCAGACAGGACTGCTGATGGGTTGGATGTGGGGTCTGGAAGAAAGAGAAAGAGGAGACAGGATGTCTCTGAGGTGTCTGCCCTGAGGAACCGGAAGGATAGAGCTGCCATTATTCCCCACTACCCTTCCCTTCTCACGCCCTCTACCTAGGGCCACACCATAGTTTATCTCTCTTCTCTGAAGAGATGCTGTGCTTTCTAGAATGTTCCTCCTACTCTCTCTGCTATTTCTACCTGTCCAGTACCAAATACTACCTCTTCCTTTGGCTCAGTCTCAGTAAATAATTATGTCCAAGTAATTCTGAGAGTTCAGGTGAAGGAGAGAAATTTGTGGCTTGCAACAGAATTTGAACTAAGCCTCAAACCAACAAGTAGGACTTGGTTAAGAAGAGAGGAATAGGGCTTCCCTGGTGGCACAGTGGTTAAGAATCCTCCTGCCAATGCAGGGGACACCGGTTCGAGCCCCGGTCCGGGAAGATCCCACATGCTGCAGAGCAACTAAGCCCGTGCACCACAACTACTGAGCCTGTGCTCTAGAGCCCGCGAGCCACAACTACTGAGCCCACGTGCCACAACTACTGAAGCCTGTGCGCCTAGAGCCCCTGCTCCACAACAAGAGAAGCCACCACAATGAGAAGCCCGTGCACCACAACTACTGAGCCTGTGCTCTAGAGCCCGCGAGCCACAACTACTGAGCCCACGTGCCACAACTACTGAAGCCTGTGCGCCTAGAGCCCCTGCTCCACAACAAGAGAAGCCACCACAATGAGAAGCCCGTGCACCACAAGGAAGAGTTGCCCCCGCTCGCTGCAACTAGAGAAAGCCCGCACGCAGCAGACCCAATGCAGACAAAAATAAATAAATAAGATAAATTTTAAAAAAAAGGAAGAAGAGAGGAATAGAGAGATGATTCTAGGAGAAGAAACCAGACTCAACAGCAATGCTTGGAGGCAATATTTTAAAGAAAAACCTTTTAAGGAGAACAAAACTTCCAGGCAAACCGGTGACTTGTGTTGCCCTAACCACTAACGCAATTAGTCCTTCAACTAATATTGAGCACCTAGGAGCCAAGGTACCATGGTGAACAAGGCAGACCCAGTCCTTGATCTCCTGGTATTTACTTTTAGTGGAATTTCTAGCATATTCTCTTTGTAGTCATGTTATAGGGGACCCCAAATGATTAGTAGACTGCTGAGTATGGAGATTGAGTTATATGACTCAGCTGTGTTGTGGTGCTAGGCAATGGCAGCCTGAGTTGTCCTTGTCTACAATGAGGAAGGAGATCTGACTTCTGAACTGGTCTAACGGAGCCTCCCTCCCTCTGCCAGTGCTGGGCAGGCACTGTCGATATTTGTCTCTCTGACTTTCCCATCCCTGTGCCTCTGTGGTTGACCAGATGCCTCCTGATAGGTACCTTCTTTCTGGAGAGACGGCAATAGCTATTGGTAGATTCAAGTGAAATGTGGCAGGTTTGGACCTTCTGGCATCCTCTTAAAGGTAACTCTACAGATCTCTGTTCTGATCCACTATATGTTGATTCAGTTAAATCTCAGAAAGCAAGGTTGTTTTTAAGATCTTAGAGAGCTCCTTGTTATTGTGCGCATGTACATTCCCTTTTTTGTTTTCCTTAAAAATAAATAATACAATGTGTGGTTAGAGGTGAGCTGTGGAAAGGTTTTGCATATTTTTCCTAAGTTGGAAGCCTGCCAGTAATCTTGTTCCTGCCAGCTAAGCTATGAATGAAACAATCTATGAATGAGACACACGCAGTCCTCTCCTCTGGCGAGCTCATACGGTATGTGTGTAAGAGGGCGGGATTAGTTTGTAGACTTGACAGCGTTCAGAGTATCTGGCTGGGCAGGAAGTCTCGAATGGGCTGTGATCTGTTGGGAAGGTTGGCTGGAGCCAGACTGCAGGAGGGGCTCATGTGCCATGACCCATGTCGGGGCTTGAAGACGCAAAGACCCTGCAAAGTCAGTTCCCCAGGAGCAAGAGTCAGAAATACTATTCAATTTTTTTTTCCTCTCTTTTAAAATGAGGTCTCCTACTCCTTAATATGGAGAAGCATGAAAAATGTGGCTCAGAATCCCTCTGCCCTGGAAGCTTCTGCAGATGGCCTCTTACGTTTCATGGTGTCCATGATGTGGCGCCGTTGGAAGTTTGTCAGTTTGGATTCCTTCATCATCACTGCAGGACAAAGCACTTCAGTGAGGCCTCCTGAGCTGCAAGCAGATGCCTTTATCTCACCCCACCGAAATTTAACATTGTATCACCTCCTGCCCCCATTCAGCACCTGAGTACTTGGCCGCCCCCACACTGCAGCTTGTGGGATCTTAGTTTCCCGGAACAGGGATTGAAGCCAGGCCCCTGGCAGTGAAAGCGACGGGTCCTAAACACTGGACCGCCAGGGAATTTCCTTCCTTTCCTGCTTTGTTTTTTTTCTATAGCACTCATCACTACCTAAGTTCTATGTACCTTATTATTTGTTACCTTCCTACTAGAATATTGGCTCCATGGGACCAAGAATTTTTACTTGTTTTTTTGTTTTTCTTCTCTCTCTTTTTTTTTAATTGCTGTATTTTCAGCACCTAGAACGATGTCTAAAGCACATAGTGGGCTTAAATTTTTTTTGTTGTTGAGTGAATGAAGGAATGAATGAACAAGAATTCACTAAGCATGTGCCAGGGGCTGGAGCTACAATTGTAGCTACAAATGTAGCCAAAACAGGCATCCTGTCCTGATGGAGTTCATGAACTAGAGGGGCAGATGGATGTTAATTCAATGTTAATTCAACGGGACACACTAGGTATCTGACTACAGGTTGCCAATGAAGGAAACTGACTACTAAGTATCTGACTACTAAGCCCACAAAGGAAAAGGTATTTGGTAGAGTGCTGGCGCCTAACAGTTGGTTGCACTGTGGTGGTGGGTGGGGAGGAAATAAAGCTCCCCTGGGGAAATTGAAAGTGTGATCTAAGGGAGGCAGGGGAGTTAACTACTCTAAAATTCTTAGTTCTTTGACTTTTGGCCACTTCCAAGTTGTAGGACCCCTGAATCTTTCTGAACTCCAGGCTTCTTATATGTAAAATGGAAACAGCAATTGCTAAACTATAAGTCATTCAGGGGAGAACTGAGTTACAGAGAGTAACTGTGAGCACCGGTCTTCTTGTTTCCTTTAACGCACTGACCTCTGAGCAGCTCGCAGGTCTCTGGGGTGTAAGTGGCCGGCTTGGGGCAGCGCCAGAACCCTGTTCCTTTGGTCACTGTCTCCACCCTCTCCTGGGAAGCCATGGAGGGCTCTAAGGAGGGAAAAACGCAACGACACACCCCCTGTTTCCCAGATCCAACCTCTGCTCCCACACCCCCAACACCACCCATAGTTTGGGAGCAGGGGTCGGGTCGCAAGAGAATCGTGATGCCGTCTGTGAACATCGCGACAGTGCCCGATCCTCCCACCCAGAACAGATCCACTGGCAGATCCACACGCGAACAGAGACCTCAACCTGACCTGGCGCCTGTGTCAGAGAAGTCCCCTCGGGAGGAAAGGGGCGTTAGGGTAACCGTGCCCGCTGGGTGACACGCCCAAACGGAAACCTCACCCTAAAGTAAGACCCCGGCTGGGTGGCCCCTCCCCACAGAGAGCGGAGGCTGGGCTCAGCAGATCGTAACCAGGGCTCTGAAGCAGCATCCGCGCCGGGGCGCCGCAGAAATACTTTTGAGATATCAGCGACTAGAGCCCGCAGCTAACCTGTCTGGCTACCATGGTAACGCGCACACGCCGCCCGGCGCATGCGCACATTTATCACCGCGCCTGCTTCCCGGAAGTGATTGCCTCTAGGTCACGGCGCAGGCGCAGAGTACGCTTGACGTCGAGCGAGGCGGAGGTGTGCTGTTTGCGGGTCTCCGCTCGGGTCTGGGGCGCAGAACTCTGTAGCTGTGGCGCGGGTGTCATGTCAGACAACGAAGACAAGTGAGTGCGGGAGCGAAGTGACTTTTGCGGAGCCTCGCAAGGGGCGGGTGAAGCGGGAGGCTGGGTCGAAGGAAGTTGAGGAGCCAGGCGTCGGGGGGCAGTGTCTGAGGGGACTGGGGGTGCTGAGGGGTCCCGCGGAGCTGGAGAAGGGTAGGGCGGTGAGCCGGCAGCATAGACCCGGCCAGAGGCTGGGCACAGAAAGACCCCGGCTCGAGGGTCCAGAGAGGCTCACTGAAAAAGGTATCTTTCAGCAAACTTCCGCTGAGTCGGGCTCTGTGTCAGTACCTAATAGGTGTATTAGGTATAGTCTCAGCTCTCCAGGTGGGGTCCCTTTCTAGAAGAGGGGGCAGGCCCACAGACATAATGCGGGGTCGTGTGAATTGCGTAGTAGGCCTGTAGTATAGAAGTAATCCAGAGGAGGGTCTGGGGAGACTTTGAGGTGGTAAAGGTCTGGGAGGCTTGCAGTAATCCAGGTGAGAAAAGGTAGTGACTTGCACTAGGGTGATAGTAGTAGTAGTGAGAAGTGGTTTTGAAGTCTGGATTTATTTTGAAGCTAGAGCCCAGGAGATTACCTGATGTGTGGTGTTGGAAGAGAGGTCCATCCTGAAGATAAAAATAGGGGAGTTCTCAGCATAAGTATATTAGTCAAAGCTGAGAAACAGAGGAGATCATCAGGCGGGTGTCAGTAGAGAAGAGGAGATGACTGCGTGTCAGAGCATCCCAGCATGGAGAGCTTCGGGGGAAGAGAGGAGAAACCGGCAAGGGAGACTGAGAATGAGAAGCCAGTGAGGTGGGAGGGCACCAAGAGTGTGAGGTGTCCTTGCAGTCAAGTGAGAAGAGTGTTTTGAGTGACACGAGTGGTCCTGTGGGCCAACTGACAGATCAGGCTAAATGAGAACGAGAATAGTGCATCACATTTAGCAATGTGGAAAACATTAACAAACTCGAAAGGATGGTTTGGGTGGGATCATGGAGGTGAAAGTCTTTGGAGTGAGATGATGACAGAATGGGGAGAGAAGAATCGGGAACAGTGAAGATGGACAACTCTTGCAAGAATTTTGCTCCCAAGGGGAGCATGGAAATAGGGCTCTGTGAGGAGGGAGTAGAAAAGTAAGCTCTGTTTGTTTTTTTAGACGAGGAACTCAAATGACTTAATGATTTATTAAGTGATTCACTCATTAAGTAGATATTTATTGAGCACCTCCTATGCTAGTAACTCAGATGAGACACAGATCTCTGTCCTCTTTGATTCTACTAAGTGGTGCTCTAACTGGCTGCTGCTTCTCGTACAGTTTTGATGGCGACGACTTTGATGACGTGGAGGAGGATGAAGGGCTGGATGACTTGGAGAATGCCGAGGCGGGCAGGATT